AGTTATTATTTACTTTTTCCTTTCCTTTCCTTACGTTACGTTGGTACGTACGTTAGTTAGTTATATTACTACTCTCCTTCCTTACTTCTACCTACTACTACTACTCTACTCTCTCTCTCTCTCTCTCTCTCTCTCTCTCTCTCTCTCTCTCTCTCTTACAGTTCATTGGATTCGTATGCATTCCTGCAATGTGTTTTTTTTATTTGGTTTTGCAGTTGATTTTTTATTTTTTTTAAATTGGTGGGCAGTTGATGTTATGCTTATCTTTGTGCCCATACTAGCTTAAATCCATGGTGAAGATGCTTTCACTATGTATTCTTAAAGGAAAAGAAAGTACTAAACGTTCGTTATAATTCAGCAGGTTGATATATGTTTGTATTGATGATGATGATATGCTGATGTGGATATAGAGACATTGTGTTGGAAATCTCGGGTGCTTGTATATGTGTATGTATGTGTGTTCAGGCATTCGCGAGACTTTGTGATCCATCAAGACTGTTCAAAAACAAAATTTGCAAATGGGCTATGGATTTGTGATTATATTATTTGGCTACCAGTTTTCAAAAGTTAACATTTGGCTACTGGTTAAAAAATTTTGATCATAGGCTGAACACGGTAAACCAGTCCGACTATTTCAGAAAAACCTTGTGTATAGAAGAGAAGCTGTCTTGCCGTTACATGCATGCTAACGCCTGTAAGGTCTCTCTCTGAGAATGTGATGAGTGTGTTCTGACTTGTAGTAGCCCGGCTTGAAATAAAACCATTGCTAAAGTGGTAATGGTTTTGGTCCTTTTTTAACTACAAATTGTGCCTAATATTAATTGAAATTGCAACTATTCGTTTAGGTGGTTTCCCTTGATTGGAAATTGAAGGAAATCTGGAAAATTTAATGATATGAACCATTAGCAGCTGGAAAATTCTGAAATTGTAACAGTTTTCTTTGATTTCTCCTTTTGACAAATTATATTTTCTTGGATGGAGCTGAATTCTTGTTTGAATGGTAACATAATAGAAAGATAAATTTGCATCCACAGCCCAAATTAAAGGATCCAGAAATGAATAGCCAATATTGAATGTTGGAATTTTTTATATTAAAGAAGAAAGGTCTATGATGGATGCCAAATTTGCATAGTGCCTTATTTAGGCTCTTGAAGAAGTCACAGGATGGGCACTTCTTTGATCATGAGGCGGCATTTTGAAGGGTCCACATGTTTACAGTGGCCGGCCCTACTTGCCGTTCAAATTGGATCATCATTGAGAACTGATGGTCTAGCTTCAACAAATAAGTCAATCGAGACTTATTTGTGTATGATATCACCTCTTTTGAAATGATTGCCTGATATAGCTGATAACATATGGCAAGCAATTTGTATTTCTTGTAAGTTTGTGAGATTCCACTCGGCTTTCCTGTGCATTCTTTCACTTAAAAAGTTAGTTAATATTTCAGCTATCATACCCAATGAATACCAAGAGAATTTAACCGTGATTCCAAGAACAAAAAATAATTCAAGGAAAGAAAGCCAAATGGAAAAAATCATGCTTAACAATCTTGATGTGAAAATTTGCACTTTAGCTAATTCTATTTGGCAATCAAATTACGTCCTGCATTTTCTTGGGTGAAAGCTACAAGTGTCGAATCCTTCGTGCATTTTCTTAAGTGAAAATTACAAATAAAGAATCCATTATCACATGGTTCAAATCTCACTTCTAAATAATGACGAAGCAAAACACAAATGGAATTGTGCTTAAATTTACATTTGAAGAGTGCAAGGTTACATGTTCAGATCTCACCTTCAAATAAAAAAGCCAAAAACAAATGAAATGGAGGAATCAGATTAAAAAAATATCAGAGGCCACAGTGCAAAATAAAAGCCAAAAACTGATAATGTTCAAATCTCACTTTCAGATAAAAAAGCCAAAACAAATGGAATGGAAGGAATCTGATTAAAAAAATTTCAAGAGGCCAGCAAAATAAAAGCCAAGAACTGATAAATCTACTTCCTGTTTGGTCCAAGACACCCACTTGTGCAGGGATTATATATTAAAGGTTTGATCCAATCTTCCATTTTCAAATAACTATGAATAGTTGGGTGGCATCAATGCCTACATGAAAATACAAAAGGAAATTTGATATTCAAAAGAAGAATAAAACAAATTACAGATCCATTATGTTTGGTGTCCATTAGTTTGCATTTTCAAATTTATCATAATTTGGTGCCAGAATTAAATAATGGTTCATGGTCCAAATGCAAAAACCTAAATTTGGTTCATGATTGGCACCAAATTTATGAATTTCCACCCCTGATTGCTTGAACTATGAACCAAAGTTATTACCGTCCAATTTTTTGGGGTGAGTTTTAACTCTAATTATCACTGAAACCTGTTACCCAGAAGCGAAAATAAATAGCACTGGCTAAATCCCAGATTTGCAGGCTTCAATTGATTCCAAGCACACATATCGATTGAGTTTGACTTTCATTAAATAGGTAATGAATTTAATTCGAGCAGTTCCAGAAATGGAAATTGCCATCAGAGAAATGACACCGATATATTGAGCTTCAATTCCTTGTTGGAAAAGGAAGCCCTAGAGAAAGAAATAAAACATCCCTTCTGTTTCCCCAATATTAGCAAAAACCACATGCAAACAAGAAAAACCATTGGATCAGTCATTCTCAGGATCGCATTCACATCCTAGAGAGAGTTTGTTTTGCTCATGCTGCAACAGCAAACCATAGAGAGAGGAACACCAGAGGCAGAATCCCACGTCTATCTTTCATGCACTGATTAAGGCATCGAGAGAGAAACCCAATTTTTATGCAACAAAAACAACTTACAAACACGCCAAATTGGTCAGTTCTATATCGCATCAATCAAACAAGAGAGAGAAAACAGAACCACTAAACACAATACAACAAGAATGAGTTCACAGAAACCCCATCCCAATCCCTTCGCAACAGAGAGAAAGTAGAAACAGAGTCAAAAGTAAAAGCCCCATCCCAATCCCCTCGGGACAAGACCACTAGAAACCCCAACGACCACCACCAACAAATAAGATTCACAGAAGAAACGAGAAAGAAACAGATTTCTTACAAATTTTCTTCTCCATATGGAGATCAGATCACAAATTTTCTCTCACCAGCCATGAATGAGTTCTGAACATTTGTCCTTGATCCATCTGAAACTTCTGCGAAAAGAGGCCTTAACCCTTCCCTCCACTGCATAAACCTTATAACCCGCGACCCTCTTCCTCCTCTTCATCTCTGGATCGCTCAAACACCACGGCCTCACCGAGCTTCTGCTCTTTGATTTTCCAGTGGTTTTCACCGGCGGCAGGCGAGGCGGAGATCGAGCAGCTAGATACGACTGGTTAGCGCTGAAGGCCTTGCCATTCACGATCTCGAGTTTGCGGTCTCCATAGGTCCTGTAACCCTGGTAATCCGCCATGGATGAACCAGAGGACAGGGAGAAGGAGAAGTTAGGGGTTCATTTACCAGGCATTGCCGTCAAGCACCGGCGATGGCGATGGCGATGGCGATGGAGAGAGAAACCGGCTGGCAAATTTGTGTTTATGTAGATTGTAAGAGAGAGAGAGAGAGCAGCTGGTAGAGAGAGAAAGAGGAATACGGGGAGGGAAGAGAGATACAGGCCGCGAATTAATGCGTGTAGTCTGGATTCGAGACTGTTGAGAGAGAGAGGGACGGGGCGATGAATTTATGCGTGTGGTCTAACCCTAGAGAGAGAAACGTTTATAGGAGTTTAGAGAGAGAAACAGTTAGTGGAGTTGGGCGAACAGGGGAGGGAGCCCCTCGTCTCCGTATATAAGGATGCAACCTTATAATGTTGAGCTACGGATGCACCTCAAAAATCTATTGAAAAAATGTTCGAAAAACCTTTTGATTGAACATCGACATGTATGTATGATCATAAAAAATAAAAAGATTTTAAATCTAAAAAATAGTGCATTTTACAACATATTATCTACACCGTCTATTTTCAAGATTTTCATATGTTTATAGATGTATTTAATTTTAACTATTTTTTAAATTTTAAAATACATCCGTATACTAGCTGCACTCTTCTTTTAAACTTTGAAATATGATTTACATAAGGCTGAAACCCTAAGCAATCAAAGTAGAGCGCACCTCAAATAGCATAAAAAAATATTGTTTCAATATTGGAAATCTTGGTTATATTTTTAAAATCTATTTTTATTTTTAACTATAAAATTTAAAGATTTAAAATTAGCATAAGAACAGATCTATAAATAATTGAAAATATTAAAAATTAACAATTCAAAAAATAAATTACAAGATACACTATTCTCAAGATTTAAAAATATAATTTTTTTCATGTCTATACATCTTGAGACCAAAAGGAAAGGATAGATTGGAGGATTATTGAGTATCAAAACAAGGTACGATTGGTTAAAGCTTTACTTTTATATAAACTTTTTTGAACTTCGAATCGTTTAATACAGATGACTGCCGGAAACCTTGTCCGAAGAAATGCGAATATTTTGTCGTAATAACGAAAATGCCCCTGGCCGAGCTGACTATAAGTTTAAAATGTCCCTGCTCACGGTACATAACACAGCCTGTCATGTGTTTTTCTGTTTAAAAAGACATTTACTGTAACGGCTGCAGGTAGCATACCGATGCATCGTAGAGGTCTTCAAATTTTATCACGGTATATAATTTTGATATAAAATATTTTTTAAATTATTTTAAAATCTATTTTTATATCTCATTATAAAAATTTAAATTTAAAAAATAGTTAAAATTTAAATTTTAAAAGTAAAAAATTTAAATTTTAAAAATATAAAATTTTGAAAATAGACGATATAAATAATATGTTACAAAATACATTATTTTTAAGATATAAAATCTTTTTATTTTTTACCGTCGTATATCTCCATGTGGGGATATCAATCGAAAGATTTTTCAATATTAAAACCACCATTTCCGATGGATTTTTGAGGCGTAATATATAAGATGCTTCCTTACTGAAATAGCCCCTTTTGTATAAAAAATAACAAAAATAATCTCGGATTTTAAGGAGGGCAGCGAGATGGGGAGTGTTAAAGGTACCAAAACAGAAGTCGAACGGTTTTTGGGAACAATGACTAAATTACCCCCAATTGAACCCAATCACTTACGAGACCGATTGGTGCTCATTATGGAAAATAGGCTGATATTTTTGAAATAATCTTCAAGAATCTCCATTTTTGGGGGCTAAAGGTCTAAACCGTTACACTTCCAGCTGGAGAAAAAGAGAGAAGCCACCTCACTGTGAGCCTCAACCACAAAGGCCTCTTGAGATGCGTAGTAGAAAAAAAAAGAAAAAACTCTCAAACTGATAATCCTCAACCACAATATGTATGGTAAATAAAAATAAAAATAAAGAGAATTTCAAGTGGCGAAAACTGAGCATCTTGTAATCCCGTTTATTTTTAAAAAAGATTAATTATTTATAGATTTGCTCTGTTAGCGGTAATTTTGAAGCTTTGGATTTCATAAAGAAATGTATATAAAGATACCATTTATTTTTCAAAAAAAAATTACAAATAATCCCTCTCTATACAAGTTACCCCCAACCAAATTTTTTTTCTCACTTTTTTTTCCCATAGTATAATTTCTTAGCAAATACCCATCAACGCAAAAAAAATAAAAATAAAAATCTAAACTATCGTCATTTACTTTTACCCACACCTCTCTCTCCTATTTTCCACGAAAAAGCGGTATGGCATACTCTTAAGGCGGTCCAGCAGTGTAATGTTGATCCGATCAATAATAGTGGCGGTCCGGCACTGACAAAGAACGGTTCGGCAATGGGCCCATGCGGTCCGGCACTACCAAAGAGCGGTCGGACAATGGGCCCAAGCAGTCTAGCAACATGCCCAAAGTGCGTTCCGACAATGTCAAAGAGCGGTCTGGCACTTTTTTTAATTTAACGGGGTCCAACAATATCAAATAGCAGTTCGACTACCCATGTAAGCCCACGTGAATGTCTAGCTAAATTTAAATTTTTATACACGAAAAATGGTATTTTTCGTCAAAAAAATGTATATTTTTTTACTTGGGGGTATTTGTTATAAAAATATATTTTGGAGAAACAAGTGAGAAAAAAAGTTTGATTGGGGGTAACTTACATAAAAAGCCTAGTCTTGAGGGTTATTTATAATTTTTCCTATTGTTTATACAATGAGGTCACAATTATCATTGACTGTTAGATTTGAAATTGAGTGGTTGAGAATGTATCATTATTTAAGCATAATGTCCGAAGCAAATTTTTTTGAATGTTATGACGTATTTTTATCTATTGGATTTCACATCCAACAGCTAAAAGGGGACTATAGCATTATTATACCAAAAATAAAGGGATTGTCTACAAATAGACCATATATATTTGGGAAAAGTTTATATAGAGCCGAGGCTCTAAACAATCAAATTTGAGCCTACATCAAAAATTTCACTGGAAGATGTTCTTTTGATGCCCAAATATCTTCAAATTGATCATCTCGACATCAAGATGCATAGACATGAGAAAAAAATTGGATTTCGAGTTTTGGAAATAGTGTATTTTACAATGCATTTTTTTACCATCAATTTTTTAGATTTTCAAGTTTTCATAAATCTGTTGATCTACACTATTTTTGAAGATTTGAACTTTATAAATAAATATAAAAATATATTTTAAGGCTATTACAAAGATTTTCGATAGTGAAACCACATTTCTCAACACTATTTGAAGGCAGGCTCCAATTTGATTGTTTAGAGCCTAGAATCTATACAAACCACACTTTTTATCTTTTGTACATAGAGGTCACAATCATTCCCACTCATTAGATGTCAAATTAGATGGCTTGAGATAAGTCATGAAATTCTAGAAATTTGTTTGGAAACTTTGTGTTACATTAACATATTTTAAAAATTTAGAGATAAAAAATAATTGTGACTTTCATATACAAAAAATAAACGGTCTATTTGTATACAATCCCAAAATAAATTGGCCAATAGCATACAATCCCATTTCATAAGTGGGCGTGACAAATAGAGTTGTATAACCATCGAAATGCTTTTCAGCACTGAAATTACCTCTTTTAGCATCAGACAATGGATATCTCAATGAATGCAGTCTTACAACTCAGTCCCCTAATATATCAGTTTTTGCAGTCATTTATGGTCGCTTTAATATCGAGGAATTATTCAAACTTCGAAGCTTGTAAAATACTACTATCTGTAGCACCGTACCCATCCATTTTTTCAATTGAAAACGTATCTAGGATAGGATTGCTCTCCAGCAGTATAAACAAGTGCTCGAGCGTTATGAGAACGCGTTCCGGTAGTGCAAAAAGGTACTCTAGCAGTACTACGTTATTTGGAACCCGCGAATTGATTTGGTTTGTACGGTAAAGGCATATCCGTTCAAAAAATAATAACTTTTTATCTTGGGGTTTTTGTAAAGAAATATTGTTTTGGAAAAAATAGTGAGAAAAAAGATTGGGTTAAATAAGTTGCATAGATAATTCATTTTAAGATAATGTTTGTAATTTTTTTTAAGAATAAAGTTGATAGACCCAAAAAAAAATTAAAATAAAAAGTATAAAGGACATCTATAATATTTTGCAACCATCCCACCAACTAGAAAGAGTTGGTAGCTTCGTCTAACGGTTTTAAATGTTAAATTATGACCTTCCTCACATAAATCAGTTTTTTTCTCCTATTGGAGACTCATAAATCAGCTTTCTCTTCCTATTGGAGACTTATGGTCTCACTAGGAAGAATATGACTTTTAATAGAACATGACCAAGCCCCATTAGTTGAAAAAAAAAAAAACTCTTGACTATTGATGATACCACAGGACCATTTAGCGGTAGTACAAAAATATCATATCTAACAATTCAAATTTTTTATTTTGAAAACAATCATCTTGTAATATTATGTGGTTTCCAAAACAAATTTAGACTATTTTTTTTTCCCTAAAATAGGTGTTTGAGTGAGGGATAATAAGTTCCAGCAGAAGTATAGTACAGGTGCTCATTGATAAGAAGAGAGGAGATTTGAGCTGCGCATTAAACTAACCAATCCTAACTAAAACTAAGTTGTTTGATACGTGGTGTGCCGTTGCTACCATGTGGCAACGTGGCAAGCATGAATTGGCACATGCCAATCAGTCCTTACTATTAACGTCTAGTATATTTTTAAATATTTTTTTATGAAAAAAATTTATGTAAGTGTGAGGCCCTAAACAATCAAATTAGAGGGGATATCAAAGATTTTACTTGTTGTTTTGCTGCTTAAATATCTTCAAATTGATTATCTCAGCATCACAGTGTATAGATATAAAAAAAAAAATGGATTTCAAAATTTGAAAATAATATATTTTTAATGCATTTTTGGGCCATCAATTTTTAAAATTTTCAAGTTTTCATAGATATGCTCGATCTACACTATTTTTTAAGTTTGAAATTTTATAATTAGAGATGAAAATATAATTTAAAACTATGGCAAAGATTTTTAATATTGAAAGCACATTTGTCGATACCATTTGCAAGTACATTTTATTTTGATTGTTTAGAGCTCAACTCTATACAAATTGTACCTATTTTAGAGATGCAAATATATTTTAAGGCTATTGCAAAGATTTTCAGTATTGAAACCTCGATACCATTTGAAGTTACCTTTTATTTTGATTGTTTAGAGCTCGGCTCTATGCAAACCATAACTCTTTTTATTTAAAAGCTAATAAAAATCTCTCTTCTCTCTCTCTTATTTGAATGTTAACGTTTGACAAAAACTCTCTTTCTCTAGGTTAAGTGGCAAATTCATTTAAGTGGGTAGGCCACTGTGAGGGAGGATGATAAATTAACGATGTAATCCTTATGATTCCCACATATTCCTCGCACACATGGGTAGCCACATAAATATCTATGACGGCTCTTAAATCAATTTTCAAAGTCGATAGTAAATTTGAAACTAAAAAAAACATACAGATGTTGTGGATCTTTGAACACTTGGATGGTCTAGATAATCTTTTTGTTAAAATATATATTATTTTTTAGAGTTTGAAATCGTAATTTGTTTTCACAACAACTATAATGTTCATGATCGATATAAAGTTTTCCCATGATTGAATTACAATTTTGGATGAGCTATTGGATGCTTTACTTATTTTGATAGGGCTGCAGCCCTATCGAACCATTTTCTTTCCTAAAAACTCGCCTTAGTGTCCCGCCACTTTTCAAACGCCATTTTAAAACCAGTTTTAGGGTTAGGGCACGAAGCGGCTGCTCTAATGGAGCACGACTTGGAGATCGAGAAATGCCGCCTCTTGAGCCTGGCTTTCGATTTTGGATTCGATGAAATTACGGCCAAAGAATGTCTTGAGCGATTGATTCAGTTATACGGTATTTTTTATCATCCGAATTTTCTTATCTTTCAATTTCATTTGATTTATTTGTGCCCTAATTATCTACATCCATGAAAGGATTTCGTTGAATTTTCAGCCATGATTTCATAGATTCCACGTTAGATTGATGCATGGGATTGATTGGTAATCGAATCAATTAATCCTTTGGATGTTGGAAATTTCAATCCTTTCATTTTTTACTTTTAAGCATTTTAGAAACAATTTCTCAACATTACAGGGTGGTATAATAGGATTAAGTGGCTACTTCAGTTTCTTGATATCGATTCTTCTCAAATCAATTAATTCTCTGGTGTGATTAAAGAAAATAAGCTTTCCAACATTAGATACATCACACTCTACTGTGAATTTCTTTATTTCTTAGGCAAATAATTATTATTTCTCAAAAAAAATTATTTCTCAGGTGGGTTTTGGTTTTTGTGCTGAATTCTGCTGGAATTGGTGAAAATGGTGTATATTTTCACCTTGCTGAATAATCAGGAACTTTGGTCTCCTAAGTTTTTCTTTTTTGGGTGCATATGCAGGTGACGATGGGAAGGATTTCATCACAGTTGAGCATTGTGGTGACGACTACCTTGCTGCATTGGCTGATTCCATGCAAAATAAAGAAGAGTGGGATGATTTGCAAGCCATGGAACAAGAAGCTTGCGGAGCTTTGAGCAATATTTTGGGAAAAGAAATTCATGGGGATAATGAATTGGAGAATACAACTACTTTAGACAGTGATGAAGAGTTCCTTTTGGAGTCTCGAAATGATGGTTCTAGGCGTTCGATTAATGAGCATTCCGAAATACTTGACACTTCCAGTGCTCGGGAAAATTCAGTTTCTGGGGGCCTAAGCTTAGGGAAGCGTCCTTTAAAATCCAGTGTAAGCATGAGATCTCTATCTTGCTTAAGAGGGTGATTGTGTTTTCTACTTTTTGCTAAGAGATCAAGCCGCTTTCTCCATCACAATTTCATCTACTTTCAGGTGTTTTATTGAATTTATTTGGAATAATGAATAACTGATTTTTTTTTTTTTCTGCTTGGGTTTTTCAAGAATTTGAAATTCCTCGGATTTTTTTATTTCTTGCAACCTCAATAAATGTAGTTTAGTAGCAGTTGAGAAGTTTTATTTAGTTTCCAATTAATTGGACGTGTTTTATTTTGCTCATTTTAGTGAAGCGATTCAAATTTGCTTTTTCTTTCTTATTATGTTTTATTCTAAATACGTTTGATTTCTCCTTTATCCTTTTTTCCTTTGAATTTCATCTTATTTTTGAACTTCGAGTACCTGTGTCCTCCATCGTGAAATCTGTAACCAAATATAAAGGTTTCAGTTTTTGGAATTCTGAAGGGACATGGGGCCACCAATCCAAAAAAATTTGCAGCACCATTTGCAAGAGAAACCATATCTTCTGGTACATCAGACATTGATCATAGAACTATGAAATTTGAAGAATTGCAAGCTTTGGATGATGTTGAATTGGCAAATGTTGTAATTTTTGGAAACAAAACATTTCGGCCTCTGCAACATGAGGCTTGTATGGCAGCCATCACAAAGAGAGACTGCTTTGTACTTATGCCTACAGGCGGGGGTAAAAGTCTCTGCTACCAGGTATATAACCTTTTCTTTCCATAATTAGTTCTCTAATGGAAATTGAAGTGCCCATTTTACCTAGGATCTGCTATACTTTCCCGTGTTTCTTCTGAGCAAGTGACGTATTTTAATCTTCCTGTCTCATTTTTAATTAGAGCCCTGCCATGCCTTTCTAATTATGTTTATCGAAGATCTTAAGCTGCGTACTAGTTATGTTTATCGACGATCTTAAGCTGCTTGATGGAGAGGTTGTGAGATGTTTCTTTTTGGATAATTTACCTAGTGTTAGATGTAGGTATAGGCATGGAATTCTCCATGATTTGTAGAATTTCTCATCTTTTTTAGCATATTATTTTTATCAGAAAAAGCCCTCCTTATTTAGAAATAATTTTGTTTATTGTGTTTGTGATGGCCTTGGCTTTTTGAGGTGTTCCATTCACCACTTTGAAACTTTAACATGCTTTGGGGTTTCACGAAATCATTGCTTTTTGTTTTGGGGTGAATGTTGTGGTTTCCATGGATATTTTAAGATTCATTATGCTATTTTCACTTCTAGTTGCTTTCGTCTATCTCAGCTGCCTGCAACTCTCCGCCCCGGGGTTACTATTGTTGTCAGCCCGTTACTTTCACTTATTCAAGATCAGATAGTTACGTTGAACCTCAAGTTCGGGATACCAGCTACTTTTCTTAATTCTCAACAGACCTCCTCGCAAGCGTCAGCTGTCATCCAAGAATTAAGGCATGGAGTCAGATCTTTATTTTTGGAGAAAACCTTTGTTTCGCAAGAATCTCTTTCATTAAGTTTGGCAATCTTCCTTGGTAGTATCTCTTTTGCTTTATAACATATTCTTGCAAGTCGCAATTTGTCCTCCTTTTCCTTTTTAAGTTTTAACTATTTGGTTTCAGTTTTCTTTAGTTCCTCGTATGCATATATGATGCTCGACTTCTTACCCCTTTATGTCTTGTAACAACAGTTGAAGTTACTTTCAATAAAGAACAAATCACCTTTAGATAGTATCAGTCTCATGATTCCCATTTAAATAATCAAATGCGATTTTTGTAATCTAAACATTTGCATTCAAATCTTTGCATTTCATTTAAGCATTTGCTCTCAGCTTTCCTTTGCTTTTCATATGTATATTTGATGCTGTGTGACTGCTGAACAAGTTCCGTATTGAAATAGCAGCTGCAGTTGCCTTGTATAAAGAGTATAGGTCACCTTCAAATAGTGTTAGCCTTACAAGTTGCTGGTTAGATAATTGAATTCCATCCAGTATGTGTCAGGAGATTTGTCGCTGAAAACATCACCACCTCGAATTTTTTGATTCCATGTTTGTGGAGCTCTAAGACTGATGAATATCATGTGTAGTTTATTTGCTGACATTTTAGTCATTTTTTCCATGGTTCTCTAGGAAAAGTAAACCATCTTGCAAGCTTTTGTATGTAACTCCTGAAAGAATTGCTGGAAATATGTCCTTCGTGGACATTCTACAAAACCTCCACCAAAAGGTCCGTTTGTTTTCTTTGTTCCGACTTCTGCATGTACAAGAAAACACCTTTGTATACCATAGCAAAGCTACAGGCATTTATTCATGGCTGGTTGAAATTTGAATGGATACTCAAATGGAGGAGTCTAATTTTTGCATGATAGGGACAATTGGCGAGGTTTGTCATTGATGAAGCACATTGTGTGAGGTATTTTCCCAGAATGACACATATTATGAAATGAAAGTGCACTGTCCAATGGACTTGTGGGAAGCCAATACTCCATTGTGCCATCCAATGAAATGATGGGCAGTAAAAGGGAGAATGCGATCCACCATCGTAGGATATGAGCCTAATTCCTGTACTACTACTCCCAGTTATTGTCAATCATTTCAATGTGTGGTGATTGAACAATTTATTGTGCTTTACCAAAATCCATTAAACTATAATGCACTTTCCCTATTATGATTGCCTTTATCTAATGGGAAATTCATCAAAATACCCATGATAGATGAACTATTTAACATTTACCCATTTGCAACTTTTCCAACTTAAGATCATGTGCTCTTCAATGGGTATTGTGAAGTTAAATTAAAAGATATAAGGTGTTAAATTTTTCATCTCTCATGGGTAATTTGATAATTTTCCTTATCTAAATTATGTTTTCGTGATGAAATAAAGAGCAATGTATATATTTGGAAAAGGCAATTGTTGTCTAACGAGTTTGAATACCTTGTTATTCTTTTGTTTTCTCTGTGCTTTCACAGCCAGTGGGGACATGATTTTCGTCCAGACTACAGAGGATTGGGATGCCTTAAGCAAAAGTTCCCTGAAGTTCCTGTTATGGCCTTGACTGCCACTGCAACCCAACCGGTTCGAAAGGTTAATATTAGAGAGTGAACTGTTTATCTTGAGTCTTTATCATTCTATCATTTCCTAATGTTGGGTGCGTTATGCAGGACATATTAAACACCTTACAAATACCCCATGCTCTTGTGCTTGAGGCAAGCTTTGATCGGCCAAATCTCAAGTATGAAGTACTCGCCAAAAACAAGGATTCATTGAAGCAGCTTGGGCAACTAATCAAAGATCATTTTCATAATGTGTGTGGAATAGTTTACTGCCTTTCAAAGAATGAATGCGAGGAGGTTTCAACATATTTAAAGGAGAAAGTTCACATAAAAACAGCATTTTACCATGCTGGCCTCGCTTCTCGTCAAAGAGTTATTGTTCAGAGGAAATGGCATACAGGAGAAGTGCAAGTGGTGTGTGCTACTATTGCATTTGGAATGGGGATAGATAAACCTGATGTTGTGAGTCAAGATAAATCTTCATAAGTTTCTTTTCCTTCTTTTTCTTTTAAAAAATTCCACTCTGCTCTATTGGGTTGTTCATCTGAATATACTGAGTTTTTGTTTGACTTTTCAGCGTTATGTTATTCACAACACCATGTCCAAATCGATTGAAAGCTATTACCAAGAGTCTGGAAGAGCAGGAAGGGATAATCTTCCATCCGTATGCATTGCTCTGTACCAGAAGAAGGATTTCAGCCGGGTTGTGTGCATGTTAAGGAATGGAGTAGCATGTAAAAGTGAAAGCTTTAAGATAGCAATGGATCAAGCAAGGATGATGCAAGAATATTGTGAACTAAAGGTAATAAATTTACATTCTTGATTTCATTTTAAGGTAAATCTGTGTACATACATGTGTTTTTGTGGTGCCATTTATCAACTAATATATGGGTATAGCATACATAGCATTCTTTTGTGGAATCAGAGATGCCGATGCTCATAAGTGAAATAGTGCTCTCTCTAATGTTTGTGCTAATTTTCTCTGGTTGTTTTTTCAGGATCAATGTCGGAGACAGACACTTCTCAAACATTTTGGGGAACCCTTCGATAGGATGCAGTGTAAAAAGGGTCCCAGTCCTTGTGATAATTGTATTAAGATGTCGAAATGAGCATGTGAAAATAGTGGTTATTGAATTAATTGTGCAAGTGAAATCTACTTATTATTTGATTGCTTCATAATTATATTTGTTTACTTGAAGAATTAGTGTGTTTGCGTTCATGCCCAAGGTGATTAAGAATGGTGTTTTGGGGTTTTGTAGAGGTATCAATCATCCTGTACTTTCCTCATGATGATATAATTACTCCGGTAGGGTTAAATCTCCATGTTCCTTTTTAAGGAAGCAATGGTGGATTTAATGCAAGACCAGTGCATGCCTTCACTTGCGTATTTTTTAAAAAAGATTAGAATGTACGTACATTTCCCAACTACTGAAGCCTACTAGAAATCTGCTAAAAATACGTTTGGATTGAGAGAATAAATTATCCGTGGCCTCCTCATGTTCACAAATGTAAGCAATACTCCTCATGTTCACAGATGTACATGCATGTGATACTTGTATGCAATATTTGTACATAGTTCCATGAGAGAGCAAAACAATTTAAGTTTAATTGCAATTGCCTTTCCATGGTTACAAATGAATGTCTACGTTCATGTAATTCTAGTGTTAAATATGCATACATAAACTCCGCTATGTGTGTGTTTGTGTGTGAGAGAGTCGCTATGTGTGTGTGTGAGAGAGAGCAAAACAACTAAAAGCCAATATCCATATGTGTGAGAGAGAGAGAGAGCACAACTAAAAGCAAGTATCTCTATAGGCACGAAATGTTTGTCAGTAAACAAAATGTAAATACTTGTATTCAAGCAAACATGCATAAATTCCATGCCCCTGAATGTAACAGAGATGGGGATAGTGAGGGAAGGAATTTACATGCATAAATTCCATGCGCACAATGTAACAGAGAAAACATAATGCCTGTATAAGTTAAACCTTTCTTCAAAAAAAAAAAACATAATGCTTCTATACAAAAAAAAAATGCATAAATTCCATGCCCATGAATGTAACAGAGAGAGAATCCAATTTCAGATATCCTCTTGCGAAGGAACTCAGGAAAAAAAAACAGAACCCCCCTCCCAGCCTAATAAACAACCGGAAGGTAGCAATTTAGAATAGAAGCCAAAAAATAGTATGTCATATTCCTCCGCCTAATAAACCAGAAGGAAACAATTTAGAATAGAAGCTCCTCAGCTTAATGAACTGGAACGAAACAAATTAGAATAGAAGCCAAAAAAAATACCATGTCATATTCCTCAAAAGCTAAGCTTAATATGAATTTGACCGTGGAACCAATGATTTCCTTTGCTCCCTAATCCTCTCCTTCAACAACTCCCCTCCCCTAAGAAAAAGAGGGGAAAAACCCCAAAAGAAACAAATAGATACTGACCGACAAAAACAAAGCTAGGCAAACAAGAGAAAACAAGACACTGAATAATGCTTCTTCTTGCTCAAGGGATGAATTTAGGCCTTCTTGTCCACCTTGAGGACCTTAACAGTCTCCCAAGTGAAGTCGGGATCATCGCGTCCAAAATGCCCATATGCTGCTGTCTTTTGAAACCTGAAATTCCCACCCCTCTTCAAGTCCAAATTAATGGCCATCATCCCAGGCCTAAAATCAAAATTCTCCTTAATCAATGCCAATATTTCCCTATCAGGGGTACTCCCTGTCTTGTAAGTGTCCACAAAAACAGACAAAGGCTCTGGTACTCCAATGGCATAAGACACCTGAACGATACATCGCCTCGCTAATCCACTCGCCACCACACTCTTGGCTGCCTGCCTCACGATGTAGGCCCCACTCCTATCCACCTTGGTAGGGTCCTTCCCTGAAAAGGCCCCTCCACCATGGGCCCCCCATCCTCCATAGGTATCGATGATGATCTTGCGGCCCGTGAGGCCTGCATCACCATGGGGCCCTCCGATGACAAAGCGCCCAGACGGGTTCAGGTGGAAGATGGTGTCCTTGTCAAGGTACTTGGATGGTATGACGGGCTTGATCACATGCTCCTTGAGGTCGGCCGCAATCTGGTCATTGGTTACAGTCTCGTCGTGCTGAGTTGAGATGAGGACCGTGTGCACACGAAGTGGGACCATGGCGCCCCCGTCGTTACGGTACTCCACTGTCACCTGGCGAGTGAACTGAGAGGTTTAGTAAATGGCCCTATGCAATTGTAACTATAGTTAAGGAAAATGCGGTAAATGTGAATATTTGAATGATTGTAATAGTGGGGAGTATTTTATATTGAGAGGACTATTTTGAATCACACATGTTTTCTCCTTTTTGGTTGTAGATAACAGCCATTTTCCCTGATTGAAAGGAAAAGTCCATATTTTCTTTCTTCACTGCTTTCCTTAATGGAACAAGGTCAGTAATTAGGTTCAGCGGATTTAACACCACAATGGGTTTCTAAATCTTCATTATAAGGGCCAAAGGGAAATCTTCATTATAAGGGCCAAAGGGACATTACCATTAGAACAGCTACTACAATGTTTTTCAAGAAATATGGTAGAGAGCAAAGTCTAAAAAGGGCAAAAAGTTTAAAAAGAAAAAAAAGCAACGTTAAAATGGCAACAGGGCACAGCCATTGTAGCGGCTGACTTAACATTTTTCCTGGAGAAGATAGAGATCAAATCATACATGTTGCACATTATATTGACCATTACGGCAGTTATTAATCTATTATAATGTTTCCCAGAATATAGAAGATAACAAACTTTTTCCAAAAAGATATTACACCATTAGAACATTTGTTTGAATAACATTACCTGGGTCTTGCCATCAGGTCGGAGCCATGGGCATGTCCCATTCTTTCGCACCTCAGTGAGCTTGGCCCCCAACTTTGTTGCAAGCACGTGAGTCAATGGCATAAGCTCCGGCGTCTCATCAGTGGCATAGCCAAACATGTGACCCTGATCACCAGCTCCAATCTCCTCAGGCTTCTTGGTCAAATGACCATGAACGCCTTGTGCAATATCAGGACTCTGTTGCTCAATGTTCACAAGGACATTGCAGCGGTCTGCATCAAGACCAACATCGGCAGAGGTGAAGCCGATGGCGCGGCAAGTGTCCCGAACAATTTTCTCGTAGTCAACTTTGGCCTTAGTGGTGATCTCACCAAAGACCATCACCATGTTGGTCTTAGTGCATGTCTCGCAAGCCACCTTGGACTCGGGGTCCTGCTTGAGGCAGGCATCAAGGATGGCATCGGAGACCTGGTCGCAGAGCTTGTCGGGGTGGCCCTCGTTCACAGACTCAGAGGTGAACAAGAAGGTCTCCATTGTCTGCTTCTGCAAAGAGATCAAAGTGTTTATAGAACGAAATTCTAGAGGTTATTCTAGTGGTGATTATTAAGCAGGACACACTCTCTCTCTCACACACACTCTCCAGACACATCGGACTAAACATCTATCAAGAAGAGTACTTGGTGGCACAAAAAACATAGAAACACAGAAAGCAAGATTATTCAAACATTCCCCACAAACAAGCAACTTTTGTCCCATGATATACCTTCATTTTTCTTTAATTTCTCTTTCATTTTATTTAGTTATTTTCTAGCCTTTTTTTTTTCTAGCCCAACCTGGAAAGGGCTAGGCCAGGTCTGGGCCAGGACCTCTTTGGCCCAGCCCTGACCGGGCCAGGCCTGGGCCAGCCCTTAGGGGAGTAGGGCCTGGCTAGGGCCATCCCTATTAGTAATGGCTAAGATTATTAATGCCCAAGAGATGCTATCCCTATTATTAATGACTAAGATGCTAGATCTCAAGGATCTAAAGCAAATGAAACAAAGATCAATATCTTCCGTAGATCCTGATCCATTCAGTGTGACAATTAGACAGCCTAAAGACATCACAAAATAATACACAATGCACTATGCAGATCTAACATTAAAAGTACCGAAAAAGATTCGTAATGAAAAAATTCAAACTGAATATAAAATGAACAGATCTCTATCTAAGAGAGCCAAGACAATCAAAACAAATAACACCATCAATCAACAGAGAAGCAGAAAAATCGGCACAGATCCCTATCTAAGCTATTGGCACAGATCCACAATTATGCTAAAACATTCATAGAACCATCAAATTAGGACAAATGATAAATAGAAAACAACAAATAACCAAAATGTATAATGCATCAAATTAGGGCAACCAATAAATAAATAAAGAAAACATCACATATTATATCTATCAATCATGGACAAGCATAGATCCACATTTACGATAGCCAAGAATCCTCAAAATCAATCAAGGAAAAGCCCAGAAAATATCAAAATCCTAAACAGCAATAAATCCTATAGAGTAAATCCAAATCAAATTCAAGCTCATACAATCAACGGCCATAGATCCTAGAGATTAAAAAAATCACAGCAAAAAATGAAGCAAGATAAAAAAGTTTCCACAAATGCAAGATCCAAAACAAAAAATAAACTCCACAATATCCACCAATGCAACATCCAAAATCAAAACAAAAAATAAGGAATAACAAGAAAATATTTGTAAGATCCAAAACCAAAACAAGTGCAAAATTACCAGAAATACACCACTAATTTAAGAGAGAGAGAGTGCCTATGAAAATTTCGCCAGATCTAAGTTCAATCAATTAAAGAATCAAGAGAGAGAGTGTGCCTATGAAAATTTCGCCAGATCTAAGTTCAATCAACAAAAGAATCAAGAGAGAGAGTGTGTCTAGAACCATTTCGTCTATGAAGAGAAATGCATCTAAGTTCAAAGAACAAACAATCAAGAGAGAGAAAGAGAGAGAGAACCTATGACTATTTCTTCAATGAAGAGCGAGGCAGAACAATAGAGAGACAGAGTGCCTATGACCATTTCTTCAATGAAGAGAGATGCAGAACAATAGAGAGAGAGAGAGAGAGAGAGAGAGAGAGAGAGAGATGAACGCACCTCTGGAAGAAACGAAACCGCTGAGATCAAGGGGAGTACAAACTCTGAGATTAAAGAGAGCAAAGAAGATAAAGAGACGAGGGGCGCAGAGAAAAAGCACCGATGACGTTGAGCTATTTATAGGCTCTCCCGCAAAGCCTCCGAGTTCATTGAACGGGGACGCGTTTCGAGCGTCCCTTGGACACACGTGCGTATCGGCGTGCGAATTATTTCGCTCTTGCTCCTCACCAGCGGCTCCGATTGGATTGCGACGTGGTTTATGGAGAAATCTGGACCGTCCACACTATACGTGCCGCGTAAGAAGAAAATTAATAGGCTCATGTGAATACTGTCCACACGATCGCAACCAGAAGCTCTTACGGCCCCACATCCACCGTCTCACGCGCGCCACGTGGCATGGACTTCTCACCAAGTGATTTGTCAGCGCTACTCCGATAGCTGGGTTTCATCTGTCACCAAAAAAACAAGTTGGTGAGTCGTCGTAATTGGAAAAGTCGAAAGATTTCGTGATCCCGCGGGCTGTGCATTTGCTTCGCCAATAAAACTCAATACAAGTAGTTATACACTTGAAAAAAAATAATGCCCAACTATCCCATAAAATAATGCCTCAAGATTGACTGTTCAATACGATGAGATCATAGTGTTATAGAACTTAAAATCCAAATTTTACCTTTTGAGAATGATATCTCGTGATTTTTAGGTCCATTCCAAATTTTTGGATTGAAATCCTAACAAGTACGCCATCTGGCAGAGAGAGTGACTAAATGTATAGTCGCCCCCGCAGGAGCATAGTATAGGGACTGGAACGTTTTAAAAAAATAAAAGGCACAACTTTTTTAAGGTGGTGCGGTTCGTGTAGAGCCAAGCCTCTAACCAATCTAAGTAAAGCGCACGTTCAAATTGTGTCGACAAATATGGTTTCAATATTGAAAATTTTTGTGATAGTATTAAAATAAAATTTTAATTTTAATTATAAATTTAAAGCTTCAAATATAATGTAAATTTAGCAGATTTTAAAAAACTTAAAAATTTTGAAAATAGATGGTTTAAAAATACATTATAAGATGCATTATTTTTAAATTTTGAAATTATTATTATTTTTCTCATATCCATAAATGTCAAGATGATCAATTTAAAAATATTTGACTGAAATTTTTGAGGTGATCTTTAATTTGATTGTTTAGAGCCTGGACTTTATATAAACTTTTTTATCTGCAGGGAAGACAGACAGCATGCTTTTTTGAACTTGGGCTCTCTATTTATGGCAAGTAAAAGGTCATCATCTCTTTTTGTAGTCCGATGCCAAATTTGACCGTTGGTGCTACGTTGTTGACCACGCTTAAAGTTTGAGCGTAAAGATTTCTTACTCTTTTGCCGGAGGATAAAGATTCCTTACTCTGGCCCGGCGAATGCTACCCATTTGCTTCCTCGACCAAAATGTATATTAATCTCCACGACCCATAGACTATTCTCAGTAAAAAAAAAAAAAATTGTGAAATAAACTCTACGTTCTGGAAAAGAAATTGTCTCCAAATTGAATACGGACTGTCCGATTTCTAAAGGGCTAGATCTAAGTATTAGGAAAACTAGAAAATCAAATTTTTTCTTTTGGAAATAGCCATCTAATATTAATGAGAAATTATCAATAATATTCCTAAATTTTAGTTAAATTCGCAAAAACCCCTAAACTTTCAAATACCTCACACACACCTCTTTTTCCCATTTTCCACTTTTTTTTTTTGATAAAATTACCCTTTACGGTAGATAGACTACCATAATTCACGAAATATTTACGACAATCTATTTACCATAAAAGCTTAAAGATCTATTACGGTAATCTATTTACCGTAAAATATTAAAGCTTAATTACAGTAATATATTTACAGTAATTCTTATAATAGATAATACGGTAAATATTTTACCGTAACAACATTTGTTAGTTTAATGGTATTCTAAATACCGTAAATTCTTAAAGCTCTATTACGGCAAACGCATTGCCGTAAAGCTTTCCCATATATCCCCTCATTAGAAAACCTCCTTCTCAAGTTCTCCTCAAGCTCTATTACTGCAAACGCAGTGTCATCTCTTAAAGCTCTATTATAGCAAACGCAGTGCCGTAAAGCTTTGCCGTACCCCCATATATCCCCTCATCAGAACCCCCCCCCCCCCCTTTCGTTCCTCTTAAAGCTCTATTACGGCAAACACATTGCTGTAAAGCTTTCTTTCATTGAGGCTATTGAAGGTGATTGAGTATTAGGGGACGTGAGGCTATTGAAGGTGATTACAATGTTTCTATTGCAGTTATACAGATCTCTTATCACAGGTTTTTTTTTGCGATTTATCCATTTTATATGCATTTATCAATTTAAATAGATTTTAGATGAGAATGAGAGATGAAAAGATTCGTTTATTTTGTCGTTATGATAGATGTGCATTTTATCTGGATTTATTCCACGTTTTTTAGTTGTTTTCTAGTTCTATTTATTTCATGTTTTTTAGATGAAAATTTCTCAGGGCTTTCCTGTGAAATTTTAGAATTTTTCGGTGAAAACTTTAAATTAGGGTATTGTGAGAAATTAGGGTTTCTCTATGGGGGATTGATTTTTATGATGTATGATCGGTTTATCATAGATTTTGGATGAAATTGAGAGATGAAAAAAGGTTTGTTTATTTGGCTTACTGTTAAAAGCCCAAAAAAAAATGAAAGAATGAATTATCATTGAGAAGTACATCCAAATAACACTTTCTATGAAATTTTTTACAATATGGAATTATTTTGAGTTATATAAAATTGTTAGTTTGTTATGTAAAATCTATTTAAATAGTTTTTGGATGAAATTGAGAAGTCAATATTTGGATATGTTTTTTAATGGGGGAAATTTTCTCTTGAATATATGGATTTGTGAGTTTTTAACCATGATTTCATTGGACATTGAAGTTTATACTGTATTAGTAGCGATCTACAAATAGGTATCAAAATTTTATGTGAAGTTGTTTAGATAGTTTTATTAGCCATGATTTAATTGGACATTAAGAAAATTGTATTCCTGTGATTTCATTAGACATTCATATAATAATGAAGTTGTATCATCAAAATTTGATTCAATGTTTTGCTTTTGTCGATTTGTGATAAGTGAAATATCTTTTATTTTGTGTCACCTAGAAGATACTAGTCCATCAGGTTGGAATCATGTTTAGTGACTGATGTATGCAATAAATAAATAAATAAATAAATAAATAAATAAATAAATAAATAATATATATATATATATATAGGAAAAGTCTTTCTATGGCCTATAAGCGAAAATGAATAGTGATTTTTCCTACCCTCATCATCGTCCAAATTTCATTGCGCGGTTACGATTGTCCGGTAGTGTTTTATTTTTCATTTTTTTTTTACAAATCGAAATGACTTGAAATTTGGAGGATATGTACATGTTACTGAGGCGCATCTAATAAAAATATAAAAACAATTAAATTGGCCAAAATACCCTTGAAGCTTCATGTAAAATTTTTTTTTTTTATAATTTTTGAAGATTCCCCTATTTTTGATGAATACACGCTCAAAATTTCAGGTCATTCTGATTTGTAGAAAAAAAATGAAACACTACCGGACGATCGTAATCATGCGATGAACTTTGAACGGTGATGGAGATAGGCGAAATCACTGATCATTTTCGCCTATAGGTATTGTTTTTCCATATATATATATATATATATATATATATATATATACATATACATTTATATATATTACCTTGTAATCTACCTATTTTTATCACAAGAGGAGGCTCAAGGTCAGCCGCATCCAATTTTAGGGAAGATATAATTCAGGGTTCGGCCTCAATGTTATAATTCAGGGCGCACCAAGGCCACAAGTTGTTTACTTTTTAAGCTTAGGCACAAGTCGTGCCGAGCTTGGGCTAGGTGTGACCCATCCCTACTGCCATAAAATTAGAAGGTAGTTTAGTATACATCCCATTTTTTATTGTTGGCATGCCAAAAGTATAAGAGCCTTGTGTCCTGATTTGCAACATTACGACAGTGTTTGTAAAATCGAATCGGAACGGTTAATCGGACATGGGCTTGGAAGCGATTCAACCGGTTTAATCGGTAAATCAGTCGATTCAACCGCTCTAATCGGGCAAGTCCAGAACGATTAAAAAAATGTTAAAAAAATAAAAAGAGTAATGATCCTATGAGACCCTCCCACACCCATCTGTATAGGATTTCAAAGGATCACCATTAAATTTGATACAGATATCTAGAAAAGTTATCACATGGATATGAGACTTGACTTTTCTAGAGATCTGTGCCAAATTTAATAGTGATCCTATGGGGTCCTACACACATGGGTGTGAGAGGGTCTCATAGGATCATTACTCAAATAAAAAAGATACAAAAAAAATCTACTAAAATATGAAAAACATATAAAGAATATGATTAGACCAAAACACACTCAAATGAAATTGAAAATTAATGAAAAAATAGATTTTAACGAGTCGATTTGTGCTGAGGGATATTTTAAAATTTTATGAAAAGATAGGAAAATATAAAAGTGAATATCAACTATCAAAATATGTTGTAATCTTTACCATAATGTAAAGAATATTAAATAATATTAAAAAAATTGACTTGACCAACTCTTTTTTTTTAAAGAAAATAATCTTTTTTTAAAAAAAAAGATGATCTTTTTTATCTTTTTTTTTTTTTAAGAAAATGATTTTTTTTTCTTAAAAGAAAATGAAGAAAAAATTATGTTATATATAATATAAGAGTAATATGATCATTTCTCATAATTATAAACCTTTAGTTTTATTTAAGTAGTAAATGTTGATCAACTAAGTAATAAATGACATGGTTTTTTAACAGTGTTTCAATTGGGGGCATTGTTAACGCTAACCAACGAGCCACTCTAACATATTTAATATGAATATGAAGTATTATTCTATTTAAAGTTCAAAATACTAGGTGACCACCAAAACTGGCCAAACCGGAACCGGTTGTTGGACGGTTCCGATCTAACTGGCCGGTTAGTGGTTCGATCGGTCGGTCTTGCGAACACTGCGCTACGTCCTAAGAGGGTAGGGGACC